GATCAGCGTTCATTGAGATGGACTCATCGGTGTATGTCTGGAGCAAACTTGAAGTACTGAGCAATTGAGCTGTGGCAGAAGGTACGTATAGGGCAGGCACCTTGATTGTTCGTAACATGCCAGTTGTGTCAACCACTGACCATGCAACATGTCCAATCCCTTCGATTTTCAGGCCGCTAGCGATTCCACGAAGCTTGAGTCCAAGAGGTGCTGGCTCACGCTTTCCCACAAAATCGTCCTTGTAAGGTGAGATCGAGGTTGTTGCACCGGAATCCTAGATTATCGGGTACCTTGTCGTCTTTTCATCACCTGACATATCTGATCTCAATTCATCTGGGTTCATCGCAGCACGAAAGCAGTTGATGACCTTGCTGAATCGTTGTGGAATATTGGCATTCTTAAAGAAGGCTTTGGCTGCGGGAGAAGATAGAACGGCAACGTGGGCCATCGGGAGTCCGACGCCAACGGTAGGTCTGTAGATTCGTGGCATGCTTGGTTGACGTCGACGTGTCATCCTTCGTCTGCGCATCCGATCCGTTCTTGGAAATGTATTGAAATGGCGGAAGATGTCGTCACTTGGATTCGAGGAAGGGTTATGGCGATTGGAACGATGTCTGGAAGAGTCGTGGCGACACGATCGAGGTCTGGGAGGATCAAAACGGAAGGCATCATCTTCACCTCGCTGGCGGGGACCTTGGTAGAAGGTCCAGTTTGGATCGCCAGGACGCCGACGCTGATGTTCATCATGGGGTGTTTCACGGGAAGTGGTAGGATGAGGGGTACTAGGTTCGTTGTCGTTCATGTTTCTCCAACCGTCGTTTGTTCTCTGCCAATCGTTGTGATCATTGTGATTTCTCTGATGTCGTCTGTTGTTTCTCCAATTATCTCCCTCTCGACGGGAACGACGAAATGTGAGAGACTCCGAAAACTGAATGATATGTTGGACCAAGTCAAAGATATCTTGAGATCGTGGGTCGAGGCGACGGCGGGTGGCGAGACCATAATGACGGGTGTGACGGCGATGACTGAATGAAGTGGGACGGCGCTGACGACGACAATGTCGAATGTAACGTTTGTACTTGGCTTTGGCATCATTGGTTTGTCCGTCAGTACCATGGGTGGTCGACCAACGTCCACAGTGAGCACACCAATTGAAATCCTTTCCACGGACTTTCTTGGTCTCAGGTGCACCAGGAGCAGGTGGAGTAGTCTTCCAACTGGAACCGTTCTTGTCCTTTTGATGCTTACTCTTGTTGTTGTTGTTGAAAGGTCGTGTTGGAGGTATTGATATATTGAGCAATCATATTGGTCGATTATTGATCAATGGTCTATGTGACGTGACGCGGCAGTGACGTGAGTGTCGATCATGCGTAATATGAAACGCAGTATGTCGGAACGCATCATCACGTAGAAAGGTGATCAAGAATGAGAATCGTGAGAATTTGTAAATATGATCTTGAACTTCAATCGAGAGTCCCACTATCGATTGAGTTCTGGCAAGAATAGTATTGTGGACGTTGAGGTCCAAACGAATATAGGAGATAATAAAGTAAGACCTTTGATTGAATAAGACTACTGCTTATTCCAGAGGCTGAGGCCCAGAGTCGCTGGTGCCCAAAGGCAGACCATAGCCGACGTAGATTCGATCTCAGGGATTGCTCATTGAAACAGACAGGGCGTTGAGGCACCCATTCAGGTCTGTAGAGCAAGTCCATCTGACACTCAATCGATAGTGAGAAAGTTTATAAAAGAGACAATGACGCGCCGTAACCAAAGTACAAGAGGAGTTCGCGGCGGCAATCGATTCGGTGGAAATCGCCAGACGAGTGGCAATTCACAGAATACAAAAAAGAAAGAAAAACGATCACCCAAGTATCATCCGAGCGACCCAGATTTTCCTTATGCCGATGTAACGAGAAGCTTCATCGAACGAATTGGAATGGAGGGATTGGAGTATCCTTAGATTATGATATCTTCCATCAAAGAATTGAATGAGCCAGACTGGGATGGTTTAAAACCCAAATTGGATTTAACTGGTCAAGAAGACGAAATTGAGAGAGAGGCAAAGAAAGAAGAATTGAAAACGGAGAGTGTCGAATATCATCGACAAAAGCGATACTGGAGCAAAGCGAAGTGGCATGTGCATTCGCTGATTATGGAGTCATTTGTTACCAGTAAAATGAAGGACAAGATTCTGCAGGAGGTCAATTACAATGAGAAAATCGAGGGTGATCCTATTGAATTATTGAGACGCATCAATAAATTTATGACGACCAGTGATGTGACAGACTGGGAACCCATTACATTGTGGGAAGCACTACAGAAGTGGGTGAATTGTCGTCAGAAAGGAAATGAAACGGTGATTGAATACCGTAAACGATTTGAAGAATGCGCAACTACAGTATTATCTTTCATGGGTGATTCGTGGCTAGATGTGTTTGCCTCAAAAACGACCGCATATCATGAGATTGAAAACAATCATCCGACTAATGGCTTGTCGGATAGAGAAAAGAAGCGAGTTGCCGCAGAAGTCGAAGAACTTCAAGAAGAATTTCAGGACGAGTTTGTAAAGTTGTTCTGCGCTGCTGGATTATTGCACAACTGTGATTGTGCACGATACCAGCCGGTACTTGATCATTTTGTTACTGCATACGCTGTGGAGCACGTGGATTATGCTCAGCGAGATTTGTTCCCGAGAGATGTGGAAACTGCAGCCAAGGCGCTACACAATCATCGGGTAAAGAAAACAACAACACCAAAACATAACAACACCAACAACACAAATGATAAAGCGAACACACCACAGAATGGTACTAACCTTGCACAGGATTACAACAAGGGGAGTAAGCGTAAATGTTTTTGCTGTGGTAAGGCGGATCATGTTGCAACGCGATGGGAACATCGATTCTGACCCAAGGAACAATGGAAAGATCCGACAAAGTGGAGATCGTATCCCAGGAATGAATCGGGACGCGAACAGGTACACCTGCAAACAAGCACCGAGGAGGGATCTGTGCAGTCAAGTGTGACAGCTAACACCGCAGGTACACCCGCCAACAATGATAGTGGCATTTCTCAGCAGAACCATATGCAGACTGGTTCGGCTGACAGGAGTGGTGGACCACAGCCTCGAAAGCAAAAGATTGGCATTCAGGGGTGGAATATGGCTCTGTTTGGCGGACGTAAGAGAGTACCGCAGCCTATTTTAAGACCTTCAAGATTTGGGACGTCACCACCACACGACATAATGGCAAACTGGCAGGTACAATTGGATGCTGTCAGAGCAGCCGAAGAGGACGTCAGTGTTGCAAGTACACAGAGC